ACAGAAAAATCGTCCAGGAAGTGGATAGAACCTACCATAATAAGGAAATCCATCTCACGTGCGATGAAATCGAATGGAACGTGGGGCTTGAAAGAATACTAATCTGTCAATAATTGACAGTTAATATTGATTCAATCGAGATTTTCAGGTGTGCTGTCTTCAATCGAAAATAATCCCCATAAAATCGTTTTCAGCACTCGTTCACTTTTTAAAAACTGCTAATTAAAAAAATATATATTTACCATGCATAGATATCATCAAATATAATAATAATATATTATAATATATTATCATACATTATATACAACTAATATTAACTATTATACATATTATATAATATACATATATTCATATATCCTTTCTCCATTGTTGAATGAAAATACATGACTTCAGAATCCATTGACTTCAGTTAATAAAATTCAATTTAAAGTAATTGACTTTAGAAATTGAAAGACAAAACATATCGAATTTTTGGCCTGAACATTTTTTACAGAAAAAAAAGAGAGCTACAAAAAAGTTGTATATGAATATATGATTATCTTCGTTGAATTTCGAGTAATGAGCTAAAAACGGGTTTTTTAAAAAATGCACTTATCCATGTTTATAACTTGGCGGTAGAATTACAAGTTTTGTGGGGAAATTCTTGGACATTCCATTGAAGATTGTCCAAGTGAGACAGGAAATCCCTGCACCTGAGGTAATCATCGCAAACAGAGCTCTATTTGTATGGAAAAAAAATAACGAAAACATTTGCCACCTGTCAGTCCGTTATACTGATAGCAGTCCAGGGCCGACCAGTTCTCATTGATTCGTCATCACACTACCTTGAAACCCATGGATGCGAGGAATATATTCGAATTCACATTCCAGAATTCACAAGTCTCGAGAATAAACCCAGAAAAACTGTTTTTGATGATAAAGATTTAGTTGATGCTAGAAAATATCTTCAGTGGAGTGGTGAAGGAAGGTAAATCTGGCGTTTCGTTCCAGCACTTCATTCTTTCAAAAATATCTTCGAAACGATGAGAGATAACTCAATTTTTATTCAATCATTTTTTGTAGAGCTAATTGAGAGCTATAACAAATTATATTACCAAAATCCCGCTATCTCTCTTAGTTTCCAAGATTTTTTCCAAAAACTGAGAGCCAAGTCACCCGATTTTTTATCAATTCACTAGTAATATATTCTTATATACCGACGGTAGTGGCCGTGCGGTTAGAGTGCTAGACTAGCATGCCAGAGATCCGGGTTCGATCCCGGGCACCGGCGGTCAAAAATTTATAGCGCTCTGATCTCACGGTTCCACTGCCGAGCGGTAGTCCTGTCAAAAGGACGACTGTACCTGGGCAGGTTTTTTCCCTCAGATGAGGTTTTTCCCTCCCTTCAAGCAAATGCGGTACAGGGGGTTGGGGGGGTGGGAAGGGAACCAACTAACCGTAAAAACCCGAAAGGGTATACGAGAGAAAAGAAAAATATTCTTATATTGAAATAAAAAAGTCTTCCACTAGATGAGATTCTGGTGTCTCCAGGGAATTCCTACTTATTCACATAAATCTTCCTGTAATTAAATCAATTAATTGCGATAATTCATGCTTTCGCGAATACTCGTCATCTTTTACTGCAAATTTGTTCTTTCGTTTTCGGATTTTCTCTTTTTAAAATACTGCATCTAATGGTTTAGCATTCTTAGGATATTTTTCTATATATATTTTTATTATATTTTATTATATTATATTTTATTATTTATTTATTTTATTTTATTATATTTTATTATATTTTTCTGGTGTCTCCAGGGAATTCCCACTTATTCACATAAATCTTCCTGTAATTAAATTAATTAATTGCGATAATTCATGCTTTCGCGAATACTCGTCATCTTTTACAGCAAATTTGTTCTTTCGTTTTCGAATTTTCTCTTTTTAAAATACTGCATCTAATGGTTTAGTATTTTTAGGATATTTTTGTGCGGGAACAGTCAATACGTACACAATTTTCTTAATAAAAAGTAGTGAAAAAATCAATAGAGATACACCCTTTAAATTTTAGTACATTATTTATGAAAATATAAAAATATAGACTATCAAAATACGCAAAAAAAATCGATTTTTGTAATGAAAGCCTTAAAAAAACTCTGAAAATGAAAATCCAAAATATAATTGGGCGATTTCATGTTTAAGAATACTCTTCAAGGACTCGTCTTTTTTTTGGTACGAGGCAAATTTTGGTGAAAAATTGATTTTTTTTTGGGACATGCCTATCACATCCCCCCAAGGATTTCAATTTTTTTGCAATTTTCGTTGGAAATTAAGTGATGATAAGGCAACACACCGTAATAAGGGAAATAAATCGCAGCAAAAGTCATTGACATCGTGACTTGGTTTTAATTGAGTCGAGACAACTTTTCACTGCGTGTGGAGAATCAAGGTCGGTCTTACGATTGAGGCCAAGTCCTCTCATACGATACCCAACTGTTTTAAATTCTCGTAACCATTAAGAGTAATTTTATCGAATTTCTGATAACTACTCTGTAGCAAATACGATAATGAAGACGTTTGGGTACCGTACGGCCCCTATTTCCGGGGAAATTTCACCAAAAAATTCAAGTCCCACCGGATTGGGAACGTTTAACAGAAAAAAAATAATTTTTACTCCATGGAACAATCGCTTAATTTGAAAACCCCTAGATTCTAAATAAGGGAATTTTCATTCTATTCACTAGTCGGAAAATTTAAATGCAGACAAATACCTCAATTCTAGTGAAAAGACACTAGATAATTGGGTTCTACTGGATTTCTAGTGAACTTTCTAGAAATTCTTGAATAATTCCATGGAAATTCAGTGAAAGAACTGTCTACCCAATTGACTAGGTTTTCCTTAATTTTCCTCAGGCGTGAATTTCGCGAAATTAAATGAGAGTTAAGAGGAATAACAAAAAAATCCAATCGTCAAATGTTCATAATTTTGTTGGAGAAGTACAAAATCTCTTGATTAGTTTTTTTCTCTCCCTGCAAGATATCGTTTTTGAAATTTGACATTTTTGTGTATCAGCTCATGCAAGTGAAGATGCACTTCTCAAAAAATTATTTTTTTCTCAGGGTTAAGGATGAAATGCGATACTCAGAGGACACATGATGAAACGCCATTAGAGAATTAATCGGACAATTATTCGGTCGATTAGATTCCACGCCTTCTGGAATTGTCATTCCAGAAGTAGATCAGCTGGGCGAGACCTCGGTGGCAAGGCGAGGCGGATTTAGATTCTATTGAAGGGCAGTATTCCATCCGCACCTACGATTTTTGCCATTCTCAATGCATTCAGCAGACATCCGTCCCTCAAACATTGCCATATAAGGTTTTATTTGACGAGTTACTGCCGATATCTTTTTATTTTTTGTTTTTTGTCAATTTCTCAAAAATCATGGATCATTATTCAATGACTCAGAAATTTGTGATGTATCTATTTTTAGAAATTTCGGTAAAGTTTTTTTATCATTTTATCGTTATTTTATGACTCATGAAGTTTCATTAATAATTTTCAAATGCTCATGCGATTTTCCTCAAGATTTATGTTTTTTCGAAAAGTTCAAACAAACGCAGAGAAATATACGAGACACCCTAAATTTGGATTAGCTGTTATTAAGTACATGCAGAAACTAGTCTCAAAATTTCGAAGAAAATATTCTCAGAAGAATTTCAACACCCGTGTTTGAAATGTGCATTCCTAAATATCGAAATTTCGTGGTTTGTCAAAGTAAGAGTTCTTTAAATTTTGGTAATGTTTTTTTTTATCGTACCCAACAATAGACAGTTCAAATAGTGTCTGCCATATTGCGAAATTATTAACGAGTATAAGTCCCTGCGGATGTACTTTAAATTAGTTCTGACCAAAAACATTAATATCTTCACAATCATTCCCCTTTTCAGAGATGAGACATAGTCAAAGGTTACTGAAATAAAATTATTTTTTTAAAGGTTGACATGAAAATACAAAATGTATCATTATTTTTTATTTTTATTTCAACCCCTAAATGAGATAATTATATTTTATAAACCGTTGACTATGCCGTTTTCTTGAAAGAATTTGGGATTTCAGTGTCTGATTTTGGTACGACATATTAATTGTTGATTAATTTTCGGGTAATTAACTGGGGTTGAGGAGGTACAGTCATTAGTGATAGGATGGAGATATTTCTGTTTATCAGTTGGAGGAAAATCGAGGGTTCACCCAGTGTTTGCGGTTTCGGATACAATTCTTATCCAAGTATTGTTGTCACGCCTTCTGCTTCCGGAGGGAAGCTCTTCAAACATGAGAAATTCAAGGGCTTCCCACTCTAAAAATCGTTCCGTTCAAATATTACAAAATTTGCCTCTATCAAAAATTCAATTTACAATTGTTCAAAACACTTTTATACATAAAACAAAATCATTGTAACGTGCTAAACTAGGTGGTAAAAAACGCTGAACCTTTTCGACACATCCAAATTTTTTAAAAGTCACTCAAAATTATTTGTGTGTGCATAAAAAATCCCGGAGTTAAGGCATCAAAAGCAGAAAAACAACAGAATCAACAATGAATCGATCGATTGTGAAAGTCGATGGTAGAAAAAAACCGTGGAATGTTGGGAAAAATGCTTAAAGTGCTCTAGAGAACGGCACATTAAAATCCAGAATTTCTTTCCCACACGATTCGATGAATGAACGCACATATGTCTACATCCTCGTCATACGTTGAACCATGACTCATCACAGTATTAAGTGACGCATCGTCCTTCGAATGTTTCATACATCGTGAGTAAATTCCCCCTTCATCGTGAATCATCGGTTCGAACCTGGAGTAAAAACCTGTCCACGGTATCCTCTCGAGTGCCGCCATCTGCCCGAAAAACTTTCAAAGGCAAAATAATTCTCCCCCAACAGATAAAACCTCAGCTGTTGATGCAGCTGATGATGTCAAAGAGGTAGATGTTACCTATTCCCAACAATTTAGCCCTCTGGTGAGACACTCAAGCTCCTCTAGCATCGAGAAAATAAGAAGCTGAAGAGACGTTGTCAAAATCGTGCTGTTGAGAGAGAACTCGAAGTAAAAAATATGAGTGCGCCCTGGGGTTCTGGGGATGACGCTTGCTCCATCGACAATTGACAGGACACCCCTTCGACTTCTCGATAAATAATTCAGCTTCTTGTACCTGTTGTCAACGATTCACGGCCATCAGGATTCAATGAGCATCAGACTACATCTAATTCATTATCTGACACTCATGATCTTGGGAGACAATTGAAGGGAGCATGGATGCAAGGGGACTTTCAGCCTGATATATTCAACTCACCGACGATTTTTGGCAAGATGACGCAGGCCAACAGGTCAGTTATACACTATAACCTTAAAAATCAATTTATTTATTATGAATTTTTCGTTTGTTGAAGAACAGGACAATGGCCCTTTGTTTTTTTTCTCTACAGTTCACACCTAATGAAAAAAATCATAGTTCGAGACTGGTTTGAATAAATTTCAGGAGAGACATGAGTTGAAGATATATAATTGTCTTTCGTAAACAATTCCGTGAGCTGTTGACATCTGAGAATAATTGCTAAGTGTGCAGTCTACGTCACGTTAGTCTGAATCAGACTATGGAAATGATCGTGACGTGTTGAAATAGATATGGGTCCTATCCTGTTTCTGAGACCATACACCAGATTGGATTTTCCGTTCTTCTTTACAATGTTTTCTCATACACACTTCAATTCCCTGTTTTTCATATATTCACGAGTACTTTTCCAGTTGATATTGTTTATATCCATTGGGTTCACGTGATCTGGTGGAAAAATATCGAGATATATCCAGTAGCAAAGTGGTAAACTAGGATGAGTGCATCTTTTTTAAGGCAGTTTTCAGCCATTATCTAGGAATTGAAAGAACATAACGAACCTTTTGCATAAAGATTTTATCTAGAAAAAGATGAGAGCTGCAAAAAAGGTATGGATAAAAATATCATTATGTTCCTTCAATTTCGAGAAATGAAGTAATAACTGGCCTCGAAAAAAATGGCCTTATCCTACTTTACCACTTGGCGGCAGTATTTTACTATTGAAAAATCGTTTGAAAAAAAATAGAATAACTTTTTTCTATCTCTGATATTAACATTCCACAATCTGTAAAGGTCTTGACAAATGAAATACAGTAATTAACATCAAATTTCATTCCTTTATTTATCAAATAGTGATGAACCACGGAATAATTGAACAACTATTCATTAAGAGACATATAAACATATTAATAATTATTATTATATATAAATTCGTTGCATTGGATTCTTGTCTCTTCGTTCTCTTGACTAATTAATGAACAAATTAATTTCGAATTCATGCTTGACTAAATTGATTAAATGAAAATACTACAGGAAACGAGGGCGCAGTATTGAAGACGAGAGCAGTGAATTCACCCCCTTATCGAAAAGGATAAACAATCTGCACATAAACAATCTGGGAAAACTATGCGAGGTGCCCACGGAGCCAATAGCAGATGCTGAATGGTCAAACCGCAACTTCGTGCCCTCTCCAAATCACTCGGAGCCCTCGCAGAGCTCGTCGTCCTCCGATGGTTTCAGCAATGCAACCCAGAATAACTTCGTACCCCTGGATTATCAGCCTGACCTCAGCCCCTCCGAAAATCCATACTACTACGAGAACAACAAACTCCTGTATTCCCTCTACGTCGAACGAATGCACAGACGTGTCAATTACGATCTTTAATCCTCGAAGGATGAGAAACTCATCTGTTACATTCATTTCAACGCATTTCCTCGATTATTCGATGTGAGCGGTGGCTCAGGAATAAAATTATTATAATTATTGTAATTTAGCATGAATTATGGTATTCAATTAAATAAATTTTATTTCTCTCTTTTCTATGATGGCAATTCTTTATTTGTGGCAGAATTTGCAGGTGAGGAATTGGTATTATAGTTAAGTAATTAGGGGAGTCTAGGGTAATGTCCACGTATTTTTATTTAAATTGGTGTAATAGTACTTAATATTGTCTTTCTTAGATCACAGAATGAGTGTCTAAAATAATAAGCGCCTTATCGAAAGTTATTTAACTATTATCGAATTTAATATCAAATTTATGGTTTAAACAAATCATTTTTTACGTGTTTGACGACGTAATTAATTTCAGACTAAAAATCATTGAAGTATGATCAATTAGAATTTTTAGCCCATTCGATGATTTACATTATTATTAGCAATTTGTTTGGACTATTTATATTTTTTAATTTTAAAAACACTCATTTGGGAGTCAATCGACTGACTGCTAAATACTTAATTTATCTATTTATGTTTATTTAAACAGAAAAACGGTAAAAATTGATAAACAATTTTGAATGAGTGTCCTCGGTATTATCCTCGGCTTCCCTGTAAATAATTCATGTTCCGAGGGTTTTTTTTCGTGGAATAAACATTGTTTGAACTAAAGGAAATCTATTTCTTGTCAAAATTTTTGTTGTGCAATTTATCAATGTCTACTGCAACTTGATTCTCATAAATTTTCACCGAAAGACTAGTTCATTCGGAATAGATTTCTCCGAGAAAAAAATATTTTATCCCTGTATAAAAACCAAAGAAAAATCCCTTAATGTCACATTTCAGACAAGAATTCCCTTCAATTTTTCATTTCCAGTAGCTCCAAAAATTTTATTATCCAAGTAAATACGTGCGAATCCGTGGATCATAAAAAAATCACCATTTCGTAATTCTGAATTGTCAACAAATGCTTAATATTCCAGATTTACTTGCATTTCAAACAGAATAAAAGCAGAATCAATTGCACCCTGAAGAGCAGGGAAACCGCAATTTCTTCATTTTTTTAACAATATAAAAAATAATGTTGAAATAATCTGTAATGACTTTTGGGTTGAGTTTTCAATAAAACAATTGTTTAGTTCAATTAATTCATTAACATTTCGATCCTCGTGGAAGAACAATCCTGCGTCAAATAAAAAATCTAATAAAGCCAATTAGTAAATGACTTCCCGAGGCAAATTGAAAAATTCCAATACCCGATAACAGCGATTGTCTTCAAAAAACGTAGTAATAAAGAAAAAACACCCCGAATCCCCTCCCGAGTAACCGAAAGAACGATCAAAACATTCCAACCCGATAAACCCCGTGAGAGTGCGTTCGTCTCGTTCCCGTCGCCACTAGCCAAAGAGTCCCGTTACTCCAATTCAACTTCCCCGCTTCCCTATCCCATCCCGAGTCAACGACTGACCGTCGACGAGGGCAAATCCCCGGAGAAAAATCGTCCCGCCGAACCAAAGGGTGAGAAATAAAGAAAAAAAAAAAAAAATCGCGGGAAATCCGCGACTCGAACGCCAACCGTGAAAATTGCAAACGGCGCTTGCGCCTTAAGCCCGGTGAAAAGCCCCAACAATTTGAATGTGTTAGTGCCCTCCCCCCCAACAGTAATAAGTGACAGAAGGCCCCTTCACCCAACACACACTTACCAAAGTGAAAATTCAGTGGCCCCCGTAGGCACACCGTACAAAAAGCCCCCGGACTAAAAGGCGCCTCAAAGGCCCGTTTTGTGGCGCGTCGGTTGGCTGTTGCGCTCCCATAGAAATGAGAAAGTCGGCTTGAAGGGAATCGAGAACACGAGTGCGTCGACACGTTTAGTGCCCAGTGCCAAGCTGCGTGTCGAGCCCACCTAAGACACGTGAAACAATAAAAAAAAAATAATAATAACATATTTTTTCACATTATCCGGAGAAACCGTTGAGGACGGTTGAGAAAAAAAAATTCACAATACGTCGATTTAAAAAAAAATGTACCCGGTGCCCCTGGTGTGAGGAAATAGTCGTAATCACCCGTTGGAGGCAGAAAGAATTCGAATCGTTTGTAATAAAAGAAACTTAGTGAGTTTAGTCGAGGTTTTATTCCACCTTGGGTGTACGCGTTTAGGTACCCGTCATTTCCGTGCGGTTCACGAGTGAAACAACACAGTGTCGTTGCAACTACTGCAGTGAGAACGTCAAAACTCTCCAGTTGGTTATCAATCGACAAAGAATACTGATATTCATGCCAATCACGGGTAAGTCACTCCACTGTTTTTTTTTTCTTTTACCTCTTTATTTTTTTCGATTTTCGGTTTGCCCTCTTGATGGGAGCACTGGGTGAATCGGTGGATAGATAATTGGTGGGATGTAAAAATTGTGTAATGGTGGTGTGCACGAGGTACGAGACAAATATCCGGAGTAAAAGAGCGAAACGGTGGCCACCGAGAGCACCCACCCCAAGACACTAAAATCGTCGCGGGGACCTCGTCGTTGCTCCACGCTCTGGCTCGGGCTCTATGGGCTTTTGGTGGGGTTGGTTGGAGGTGCGGACAGTGGTTGAGAGGCTGGTGGGGTTGGAAATTGCGTGGTGGTGGGTGAACCACCACGCCAGGCCCCTCCGTAGCATCTCGGGCTTCTCCTGCTGTACCTCGACACGCTTTTAATGCTCGCGTCATTTTTTTTTTTTTCTCCTTTTTTCCTCTCTTCACTCTCTCCCGGGATTCTCATTTTCGCGTGTCTCGTTGGAGACGAGAGACGTGGTCTGCAATTTTTCTTTTTTTCCCACTTCTCCCCCTGCACAGGAAAATTGGGTGGGGGTGTAAACAACAGATTTTTACCTACGAGACGCGGGTGTTGGCATTCGGCGGTCAGCCGTTGGTTGACACTTCGGGCATCTCACCCCCTGGACATTTCTCCTGAAAATTAATGCCAAATGTAGCGTTTTTATTTATTTATTTATTTATTTAGATTTTTTTTTCTCTTCAATTGACGGCGGGTGGAAGTCAATGGCGTTTAGGCGATTCTCTTGGGTTTTCATCGAGCATTTGGTATGACGCCTGGCCATTTCACAATGGCGGCGGTGGTGACGTGGCAACGGACAACGCCCTGAGAACTCTGTAGTCTCTCTGGTGTACTCATAAATTATTTGAATCTCTTTATTTTTTTTTTCCCCCTTATCGGAACGGTCTCTGAGGGTGAGATTGTCACGATAACTCGGTAATTCCAATGTCGCAGATATTCACGAATAATTTATTGGTTGTACTGCGCAGTTGCTAGTTGCGGTATATCGCAAAAGTGGTATACGTCACGGCGTGATTACAGACAGTGAGATCCTCTAACCGTGTCCCCTGCGACAACGTCCGTGGGCCAATTGCCAACGGTTTTCCCCCAGAACACCCAAATAACGGTACGATAATTAATCCCGTTACAATAAAAATTAAACAATCAGAGACCAACGAACGAGTGAGTGCACAAATAACCGGATAAACCAAATATTTCGTGTTTAATGTACCACATCGAGTGTTTAACGTGTGTTACAACCGGTATTATCACTTGTTTCGTACTCCACTTTCTCCCGTAATAAGTAGAAAGGTAAGAATGAACTTGTACGAATATGTAATTCTCCTCCCCCTCCCCTGGACATACCCCCCTGATTGCCTCCTGCCCTCTGGATAATGGGTTAACCGGAGTAACACTCTGAAGGGCACCCACGAGCGTGGGATTGACACTAGGGTATCCCCTCACCCGAAACAGAAGTGTATGTTCTATCAACATAGCCTTCTCCCTTCCTCTGATTCCTCGGCGATCGCATGGGAGTTGTATCCCTTCTTTCTTGGCCATGCCCCTACCCTTCGTACTGCTGTGCCACCACTGCCAGCAACCGGGAGTAGTTCACCCTTCCTTCCTTCCTTCCTGCCTCTTCTCCATTTTCCATCTTTTATCCTACGAAATATTCACCATTTCCCCCATCATCACTTCCTCAAAATCTCCCACCAGCCCCCCCACCCCCCCCTCCTCGACAACACTCAAATCTTCAACTCTGAAAAAAGCTCCTTCGTCGGTCTAACCCCCCCCTCCCCCTTCCCCACCCATCCACTCATCCCGCCTCCCCCTTCTTCCCACCCGTTGAAAAGAAAAAAAAAACATTCGCATACGTGACTGGCAGTCATCGCTGACTTCTACCCCCTACCCCCTGTTGTACGCCGTTTTTGGGTGGTGGTGGCACTGAGTGGTACACTCTGGAGGGTGGGGGGGGGGGTCCAGGGAGAGAACTGGGTTTGTTCCTCCTCGATTCATCCCGAGGCTGATTTTCAAGCACCAGGTCTGGTTTTCCCCATTGTCTGTCTCACCTTCTCCAGGTTGTCAGGGGGTGGGGGTGGGTAGAAGGGGGGAGGGGGATGGTTACCACTTAAAATGTAGTTTTTCTCGCGTTGTACTAGGGTCTCAATCCCCCTTCCCCATTCCCTATTTCGTGCAAAACTCAACCGCGAATGATGGTGAGATGGTGGGTGGTGGAGGACTCGGTGCGCCGTGGTGGCGGCGTTTCAGGAGAATTATCGGGGGAGGGAGTGGGAGGAGAGAGGGGGTGGTGGGTTGTGATTTTTAGAGGTTGTTTTTGGTTTTGTTTTGTTGTTTTTTTGTTTTTGTTACTTTTTTTTCCTTGGAAAGTGAGGAGAAAGGGAGAGTGATGTAGGTGGGGTGTTGATGGAGTTTTTGGGGAAGGGGGTGACCTTGGATGGTTCTAGTGGGTTGAGTGTAGTTTGGGGGTTGGCGGGGAATTTGGGGGGTGATTCAGTAGGGGGTGGTTTTTTCGGGTATTCAGGGATTTTGGGAAATTTTTGGACTGGGGGTTGAGGGAAATTGGAGGCGTAGGTTTTGGTTGGAGGGGATTTGAATTATTCGGGGATGATTAGTTGAGATTTTTTTTTCGTATTTTTGGTTTAAGAATTTGGAAGGAGTTGTAGTACTTCTAGTAATGATGTAGAGGAAGAATTGATGAATGAGATTTAAATTTTAAGCAAATTTTAAGTGGAAAAATTACTCAAGAGTATTTTCTTCGCATTTTTGATTCTAGGAGCATAGAAGAAAGAGAAAAAATGAATTTCTCGCCTTTCCAAGGCTTCACCACAGGTTCCCTGCCAACGGGGACAGTGCACCCATTTGCCACAGCAAAGTTTGCCCAGAATTTGACCACAGGGGGTCAAGTTGTTGGGGTGCTGTCGGGTGGTGAAGGGGGTGTTCACTATCTGAGGCCAGTCGATCCTAATGGATTTGCGGTGGCAACCCAGGGTGGCAACAATCAGCAGCAACAAATCATAACTTTACCAATAACAGTGCCTGGGAAAGATGGTACACAGCAACAGCAAACCGTCCAGATACAGGTGGTCAATCCAGCTGTATCACAGAGTGGCAACAGTGGGGATCAGCCCAAGTATCATCTAGCCCCGATATCGCTGGGACAATTTCCCCAGGGTGCTGCCACAGTACTGACGGTTGCCTATAGCCAACAGGGGGCTGATGGGGTACAGATACAGGTGCAACCACAGAATACTGTTGCCACTACGCAAACGTAAGTCTATGAATTTGTAATTTAACGCGACTTGTCGTTCATTTGCATAATTGCCTATTGTTGCAACATACGGGTTATTTTACATTACAATTTTCAAGAACTGTAACTTTACTGTTCCAAATTCCTTGAATTTTCAGTAATAGTTGCATTTCAATTTTCATATTTGAACCATGAAAATAGTTTTTAATTTTTCTCGTTGATTTCTCCATTGTTTTGATCAATGTCTCTAAATGTAAGAGAAATAGTAAAATTTTCCCCAAGATCTTTTTTGCCCAGCGAACTGAGAGTTAGAAAAAATGTGTTTATACAAATTTCGCTCCGTTCATCAGACTCACTCAAAATTGCCAATAATGAAAACATCACAAAAAAATTTCCTGTTCTTCCAGGTCGGAGCAAACAACGCAGAGTACATCAACAGCAGTGACGAGTACAGCCCAGCAAACAATTCCCCAAACAGTCCAGTTGCCGGGTGCCCCAGAAGGTTTGACAGTTGTGGCGCAGATTCCTCAGGAGTTGATCCTACGCGAGGGTATGGAGGACTCGAAAGAGGACATAAAAGAAGGTACAACGCCAGTGGCTTTGATAAAACGAGGTACCGTGAAGAGTCAGGGTGCCCAGAGCAGCGAAGAATTTATAACGTCAATGCCAGCTACCTGGCAGAGTCTGGCAGCCCCTGGTTCAACAGTCGCTGACTATCTCGCTCGAATTCCCGCCAATACTCTACCCCTCTCCCTCCATCACTTCCTAAAGTTCTCAGCTGAAACAATAAAACGAGAATCAACGATAGAGTCGAGTCCTCTGGGTGCAGATGGTATCGATGCCTCTGCCAGTACAGCATCAGAGCAGACAGTCCAGATAACAGTTGGTAGTGGTGAAACAGAGATAATACCAGACGTACCTGAGGAGCAGGAGCCAGGTACAAAGCCCAAGAGAAAAAAGAAATACAAGAAGAAACCACCAAAACCCAAGAAGCCCAAGCCAGGACAGGTATCGATAGTAACAGCCCTAGATGGTACAACTCTATTCTGCTGTCCCCAGTGCAACATGGCATACCCTGAGAAAGAGCTCCTAGAGCAGCACCTCATTGGCCACAAGATCGAGCGAAGATTCATCTGCGATATCTGCGGTGCGGGATTGAAGCGAAAAGAGCACCTGGAGAGGCACAAGCTGGGGCACAATCCAGACAGGCCATTCATCTGTTCAGTCTGTATGAAGGGCTTCAAGAGAAAAGAACACTTGAATCTGCACTTTGTCATTCACTCGGGTCAGAAGACAGAGGTGTGCACCGAGTGTGGCAAGGCATTTTATCGAAAGGATCATCTGCGTAAACACGCAAGATCGCATCTTGCTAAACGAGCTAAAGAGGATCCACTGGCTGCAGTGGACTCCCAGACCCAGGGACAGCAGACAGATGGCTCGCAAGGACAGAGTCAGGAGATGCAGCAGAATTCAGTGCCTGAGCTGCAGCAGATTCAGATTCAGGTGGGACAGGGCTCGCAGGCGCAAATTCATCAGATTGCTGTTACCGAACAGTCGACCGTTGTACTTCCCACTGCTGCTGAGACTGGGGCAATGGCTATGCTCCATCAACAGCAGCATTAGCGGCAATCCACCGTTCCAGGAACGTCTGGACGGTTCTTTCGGTTTAATCATCAACGGGCCAAGGGGAGGACTGCGTAGGTCTCGAGTTTACTGTTTTTTTTTTCTTTTTCTCCTTTTTAGATGACACTGAGGGGATTTTTTCTGCCAAGGAAATGTATTCGAGACGACCATCAATGTCCATGTAAATCAACCTTTAAATTTTTTGTCTCGAACGCATTTACTTGGCAACTCGTTGGGAATGACTTTTTTTTTTATCAGGGATCTGGGCAGCTCTCTCCAATCAATATGTTTATGAACAAATTATGTATCGAGGAGAACTGGAGGAGTTGTTATATTTGGGAGGCAGTGGTGGGGCCCTTTGACAGTTGTTTGGGTAGTCTTACGATTTTTCCATATCTTTATTCGGTTGAACGGTTTTTCATTTATGACGCACGCGTTCTAGTGTGCGTTTTACAGACTGACGGGTGCACTTTTGGAGTTGGGCCTGCCGAGGGATTCTGTTTACAATTTTTTAGTTGTGGATGGGCTCTATTTAGATCTTTTTTTTTGGTCGTTGGAGAGGGAACGGGGGGGACGAGTGTGTTGGGCTATTTCCTAGAGCTTATCGTGAGTTTGTGCAATTACGGGTTCAACTTTTTTTTGCCACGAATTCGTAATTGATCCTGCTAACAGTAAATATTTGGAGATGTTGAGAGGTTGGTGTTTGTTACCGATTTTATATAATTATTTAGCACTTCGTTATGGATATCATTTAAGGATAATGATGAATTAATAACAGTTGATGTCAATTTTTGAAGTTCTTTTTACGAATATTTCACAGAGGTAAACAATTGGCTTTACATATCTCGAAATTCTCTCTATAATTATGACTCACAGTTTATTGTTATTTATTTACTTATTGGAGCAATCATCAATCATGCCCAGTGTAAAAAAAAAAAAGCTCGGAAGGAAAAGATAAATCATGCCGATGACTGATAAAAGAACCTCTCCAAAATGCCAATTTTCCTCCTTAAAAATGACAACTTGAAAGCATCACCATTGACACGATAAAACGACTACAGCCCCACCCCCAAAAGTGCACACCGTCCCAATTCTGGAATTGCCCGAAACCACAAGGAAACCTCATGTTACAAAAAATAAAAAGAAAAAATAATACGGCGCTGCGCGAAGCAAACAAAAGAATTGTATTTATGCATTATAGAAACCTGAAATCCATCTATCCCTTCTTTTTTATTTAAAAAAATAGAGAAACACTTTAAGGCAGTGGGTATAGCTGTACGAAATTAAATCTAAACAATGAAAAATAAAAATCATAGTTATTTTATTAATATTATTATTATTACGCATAGGTATTATTGTAGGTCCTACGAAAGATCGTCTGTAAGTGATTTTCATTGTTACTTATATAAATATTGGAAAAGAAACAAAAAAAAAATACTAAAAATAAAACGTAAATTTAATATAAAAATAAAAAGTGTGTTGAATGCGTCCCGAAATTTCAGCGGAACGACGGCGAAAACCAGTTTGGGAGTTAAAACGTTGGCCCTCCCTCTCCCCCACCCCCTTATCCCGTCCCCCTGAGCCTCCCCCCCGGGTGTTTCTAGTTACCCCACCTCTTCGATTCGGGTATTTTCGCCATTTTCAAGAGGGGAGAGAGACACATAGAGAGGAGATGAGTAAGAACCATCGTGGAGGGAATTGGGGGGAAGGGGTCTGGGGGGCTTGAGGGTTGGGTGGAGTTGCGGAGGGGCGGAGGGGCGGAGGGGAGTTTGTCGAGGGGGTGATGAGGGGTAAACGGGGGGGTACGGGCGCCTGGAAATGGGGGGAATGGGTGTACAAGAGCGAGGAGGGAGGTGGTTGAATTGACTGGATGAGGGGGGCTGATAGGTGGGTGGAGGGTGGGGTGCATCGCGGGGGCCGCCGAGAGAGAGTTTACCAGAGAAAAAATAGTTAAGAGGCTGGCACAGTAGAGGGCGGACAGTGGGGTGGGGAACGGCACAACTCGAGGTCCTCGAGGTAGACAGGTGTCAACGGCACGGGGGGGTTACATGTATACCACATGTACGTACTCATCCATAATCCGCAATAAATCAGGGGACAGTGGGAAAAATTGAGAAATTTTTTTTTTTTTCCCCTCTCTTTATATTGGACAATGGTCTGTCGATGATTACATGAGGTACATGGAATTTATTATTATTATTATTATTATTATTTTTCGTAAAACGCGAGTGATTATTGCAGAATTTTCGATCTTCAGGACGCAGATCGCATGAATGGTAAGGCTTTCTCTACCCCGGGATTTGTACCTGACCACACGTGTGTTTCGTTTGGTGGTTGCCGGTGGGATTTTGCACAATCCTCTTCGATCTACTCGATCTGGGGAATAAATGGAATTGATAGCTATTGGTGGTATGGATCGGGGAATTGGGGGGGAGGGATTTTCCCCAATTCCCCATTTTTGGTGGAAATTTTTTATTGAACGGGGAAGGGGGGGGGGCGGAAGGGAGCGGGGGGGGCACCACACGATTTTGCATGATTTTTTCTTTCCATTTCTCGAGGGAGTTTTCGCGTCGGATGAGCAATGCCGGCGTTAACCCCGTCAGCCCATCCCTCGACCTCGGCGTCGCTTTCCCCTTCCTTCTTTATTCCCTTCCTCCTACACCCCTTTTTACCCCCGCGGGTGGTCATGACCAACCCCTCGCCGACGCCGACGCCGATACTAATACACATATGAATGTGTATAACGGGGGAATATTCTATCCCTCGACGCCGACGCCGACATTTACCGAATATCAGTCGTGCATTAGAATTTTTTTTTTTAATCGTCATTTGGGTGTTAATTGGTGGGATAATATTTTTTTTTCGTCAATTTGTTGGGTTGAGGGAGGATGGGGTTGGGTGCATTGATCGTTGGAAAAAAATAATTGGCGCGGGGGGCGGCAAGAAGGG